GCCTACTCCCTATTCCGTTGATTACCTCTCTGTGAGACCAGGCTTGGATCGGTGCCACTTGGCGAGAGGCGACATGATCTGGGGATGCTCAGTAATGAAGGTGGGGCTCACAATCTTGTCCTGAGAATCAAATACTGAGACCTAGTTTAGAGTTGAAACTTTTCAACGTCGTCCCCTGCACTCTAGAGAGGTCGAGTGTTACCTACCTCAATGAAGAACCCGCAGAGCTTGTCGAGAAGGCGAGCGGAAGTCCTGGGAGCAGGGCATTCCACATCGAACTTGGTCGCTAAGTCGTCCAACTGCTGCCGGGCTTCCTCGGCGGCGAAGTCGCGGTTGAGAGACACACCGGCTTGGCGCTCAATCTCCTCGACCATGGACACCTACAAGTGAGAACATAAGGCATCCTGGGTGAATATGCACTAGGTACTCTCTTCCATGGAGGAGCGAAGTTGATCTCCTTAGCGGGACCCTCAGGGCCCTCAGGGTGGAAGGTAACCATATAGGTGCCGAAGATTGACTTCACCTGAATCATCGGGGATTTGCTTATGAACGACGAATCGTGACCGTGTCACCATGCCAGAGATCATCTCCTCAGTCATGTTCATGAGATCGTTGTAATCAGCATAAGCCATATAGAACTCGCACGAGGTGAACTCGGGGTTATGAGTAAGATCAATACCCTGAAACCACAAGGGTTCCTACTTGGGGTCGCTGCTCATGACACTTACCTCGTTACGGAAGTTCTTGCCGATTTCGAAAACACGATCAAGGCCGCCAACGACGAGCATCTTGAGGTAGAGCTCGGGAGCGATACGCATGTACAAGTCGAGATCGAGCTCGTTGTGATGAGTGATGAAGGGCTTGGCCGAAGCACCACCGGCAATCATGTTCATCATGGGAGTCTCGACCTCCATGAAGCCACGGTTACCCAGGAAACTGGAATTAATATGATGTGAAAAAGGATTGGTATGGAGAGCTTACCTGCGAATATAGCCGATGATCTGAGATCGTCTTTGGAAGGTCTCTCTCACATGAGGGTTCATGATGAGATCGAGATATCGCTGTCGGAAGCGAACCTCCTGGTCCTTGAGGCCGAATTGGGCCTTAGGGAGCATATGCATGCAGGTGGACAGAAGGCGGATCTCCGAAGGGAAAATAGAGAGCTCACCACGCTTGGACTTGCCGACAACACCTATATAGTTACAATGAAGTCCAACCGAGGGGAAGGGGAATTCCTTGTTACCCTTAACACCGATAATGTCACCGCGATGGACCTCCTTGTGAGCCGTGGCGAAGTCAACATCACCGGTCCAATCTTGAGCGACGGACATGACCTGAGGACACGCTACCTGGATGATACGAGCAGATACCCCACCTGAATCTTATGGCCATCCTCCCAGAGATCGTAGAAAACCATATGCTTGCCGCTCTCACGCTTGGACATAGCGCGGCCAGCTAAGCAAACAACCTATGGATGACGAGGAACAACTAATGGTGCTAAAGCTCGAACGATCTCACATCGCCGGTGTGCTGACCAGCCTCAAGGTCGGTGTACTTCTGAATAACCTCAGCAATAGTGGAATCAACAGGCCACTTGTGAGGGTATGCCTCTCGGCCAGAGGCTCGGATGGCGTCGAGTTCACCCAAACGGTTGTTCCGGTACCTTCACGGAGCATCACATCACCAACCAGTTATCGAGTCTTCCCTACTGAGTGGGGTCCAGATCCTCATCGCTGACCTTATCAGCCTTGGCCGCCTACAACAGGGAAGTACAACTCCAAATCTGACATAGTTCCGTCACCACCCACCTTCTGTGCGGCCATCTTAGCCTCACGCTCGGCCTTCTTAGCAGCAGCGGCGGCAGCCTTGGCCTCGCGGGCCAAACGCTTACGCTCGTGGGCGGGGAGCTTCTGAGGAGTCTCAGTCGAGTCTGAGACACTCAAAATCGTATAACGTGACCTCTGGCTAACTCCTTGGTACCGTTAGTGACAGGCGCTGCTGTTGCGGTATTGGGGTCCTCTGAGGGTGTAGTCATCAGTGAACGGTAGTGGAGTATCGGACGGAAGAAGCTTAAAGACGATCGAGAGGATTGAGTGTTCCGGGAGAAGGCCGATGTGGCTCTTATAATTGTCCAATGCATAAACTGCCCGCGGTGCGGACAGTTGTCAATCTCACGTCGCTATACTCGTCAACTCAAAGCCGGAAAGAAAGCATGAACCAATATCACCACGGCATGCATCATGAATCGCCCTCTATACGGGAATGCAGATAGTTGAAAGCCCACAACCGCGCCTCATTCAAGTCTACGATATCAAAGGCCAATCGATTAAAATGAGAAGCGCGACGAGCACGAGATTCTTCATCTGCATGAATAGAGCAAGATGTGTTAGCGCTCGCCCATAAAGTAGGACCTGGGGCGGTATGCGGATACTGATTCGAGAATCACAGGCACTGATTCAACTCACTATCTGATTTCCGATTTTGATTCAACTCACACCATGATTCCCAAGTGTTGATTCAGATTCCGTATTCATGAGTAAGATTCATGATTCGTGAGTATGATTACTGATTCCAGATTCAGATTCAGGATTCGCGAGTACGATTCCTGATTCCTGATTTCGCTCAAGCGTTGATTTTGATTCTTGATTCAGAATCATGATTCCTGATTCAGAATCATGATTCCTGATTCAGAATCATGATTCCTGATTCAGAATCATACTCAGCCATTGATTCTGATTGTGAATCAATGAATCAGAGTATTTACTCAACCCAGTGAGTAAGAATCATGATTCTAGATTTTTTCAACGTGATTGTGATTCAAAACTCATACTCGTGAGTATTTTACTCAACTCGAGAACGCCAAAGATTCAGA